TGCTGCGCCCTACACTCAGGGCGGTCCGGCCCGCGCACGGCGGCGGCGTCGTCGAGGAGGCGGCCATGCGCAACTGCATTGCGACACGGGCTGTGAAATTGCAAACTGCGTGAGCAAATGACACACTCCGCGTAAAAACGACTGACGCGTTGAAATTTGTCCGTTTGCAATACGTAATAGTGAGCGTTTCTTGTTTTAAAATGTGCCCGCGGAAAGTCGGGGGTTGATCTAGGTGGAAGGTGGGGTTGATGGCCCTCGGCGTTTCCGCGGTGGCTTCAGCCCCCCTGCTGCCCCACAGCTTGCTGGGAGTGCCCGGCCCACGCCTGGCCCCGGGCCGCCCGGGCCCCCCGGGCCCCACCAAGGAACGGGTAGGGGCGGAGCATGCGGAGTCAGAGAGGCACTTGGAGGGGATCCCCGCGAGCGGTGGCTGGCGGGGCCGCGGGCAGCGGGGCGGGGCCCTAGCCACTGGACGTTCAGCTGGGCCCCGCCCCGCTCCACGGCCTGTTCCGGCCTGTTCCCTCAAGACTCAACCGTCCTGCTGCAGTCCCATGGTCCGTATAAGGCGTTATGTAATTATGTACCCAGAAATGTACCATTTTCTATTATTCCTGAAAATTGAACTTGGATTATTGTGTATTGGATTTTGAAGAGAACAATTCGAGTACATCTTTAATTTAGGACGAAAGGGGTAAAGTTAACGTGTTACACATTGATTTAGCCGCAAACTTTTCTTTGGAAGGTATCAGGTACAGGCGCGGGTGGTATGGCTGACGGGGTGGCTCTGCGCCTCGCTCTGCGCACTGTCAGTTGCCTGCATACGGGGGTTTTGTGGCGCAAATTTCCTACCTTTCAGATGGCTCACTAGAGACCACGGGATGGGTCACCATAGGATATCCTCGCACCAAACACGGCGGTTTCGTTCTCCCAGACGACGGCGGAGCGACAAGGAGTCTCCCGCGCGCTGACGCACCACACACCTCGTCCATTCTCGTTTTTGTTTGACTTCTCACATTTTTCTCCCAAGAGGCTGGAGGCTGCGGGCACGCTCCCCCCGCCGCGCCGCTCCGGCCGGACACGCCATCATACGACTCACGGCGGCGATGCGGCCGACGGCCGGTCCGGTGGTATGGAATGCGAGTAGTACACGTACGAGTGGCGGTGCGGCCGGGGCTGGGAGTGTCCCCGGGGCTTGTGCCGGGCCGGGGCGGGCCCGTGGGGCGGGCCGGGCCGGGGCGCAAGTAACCATCGCACGCGATCAGGCGGCGTGGGAAACGGCTACCGAGTACGCGCGGGCCGAGTAGTCGTACCCCGGGGGGTAACCGGTAGGTACCGGGGGGTACCCTAATCAGGGGCACGGCACCGCGGCGGGGCGGGGCCGAGGGGCGGGGCGGCGGCGTGCCCCCACACGCCCACAGCCGGCGGCCACCATTAGGAGCCGCCCGCTGACCGTGCGAAGGATTCTGCGATCGCGTTCCGCCGCCTCGCTCTCCTCCGTCCGGCTGGACCTGCCTGGGAAAAAGGCGAAACGGCAGCATGACGGCAGTCAGAGCACCGCCAGCAGCGAGGGCGGGGCAGGGCGGCAGGGTATGGGGCGGGGCGGCGGCCCGAGGGGTGTCCTCAGCTCGAGCTCTCCTGTCGAATGTGCTTGTTTCAGACATCGTCAAAACACACGACATCCTTGTCTCGTGCCCGGCCTTTCTGAAGCTATGGCCGAACTCTAAGCCTTTCGGGTGGATTGTTGCAACGAATGGCCTACATAGCACCCATCAGGCGATCCGTGTCGTCCCCTGCATGCGAGGGGTGCATAACTTCGAAAAGTCGTGTACAGGGATTGGAATCTCTAGAGATTTGAAAGGATGTATAGGATTTGAAACGATTCTAGAGATTGGGTTACATTGATGAAGATTTTGAAAGATCACAAAGAATGGAAAAGATTAGAGGGGAATGCAAGGGGTTTGTTTGGGATTTGGTTGGATTGGAAGGGATTTGAAGAGATCAGTTAGGGCTAAATTCCTTCGAATCCGGCTCGACAGTCGACATCGAAACGACAGCACGCTACCCCTCTCCCGGATAGCGAGTGGGAACCAGCTTGGCATTCCCTCTCGCACCCGTTCGTTTCGTACGGTCGGAGCGAGTAGGCAACCCGCCCGCTGACGTGCATGCGGTACAGTCTAGCTACAGTGGCGGATAATCCTGCCACTTGGCAGACCTGGCAGGTGGCTGATTCGCCCCGCCCCGTCCACTTTCGTAGTTTGTGCCGCAGCGAGGCCTACGCGGGCAGGTGGGTTCGCCTATCGTGTTGGTTGACCATACGGCGTCTTTACGGCACTGAAGTGCAGCGGTCTAACCACGCAATTGGGCGAGAGACGACGTGAATCAGCCAGCTATGGTTTTTCGTACTGTACTGATGCGTTCATTTTCGCTTCCGACGAAAGTGGCACTGTTACTGCCGGTCCTTCCAGCCGCTTCACCAGACTTATTTATCCGAAGCGAAAATGAACGTACCAGGTGGCTGACTACTCACGCCGCGCACTTTCGTAGTTATACTGTATACCGCATGCACGCGTGCGGGCGGGTGCCTACTCGCACGGGGCCTCATGAGGAGCCACAACTGACGTGAGAAGCGAGGTTCTTGAATCAAGTAAATTTTCTTGAAACAAGTCAATTTCCTAGACCTGTGCTATTAGGAAGCGACATGTGCTAGGAAATTGACTTGTTCCAAGGATATTGACTTGATTCAAGAACCTCGTTTTAAAACCCAGAATTCTGGGTGCATTGGCAGATATGATAGGCGGCCCGCCCGTACCCGTGCGTTCGGTACTGTATAACAACGAATGTGAGTGGCGCGAATCCAGTCACTTCGGTACAGTATACACTACGGGGTGGGTGTTCTGATCTGTACTTTGTTGAGATATACTACCGCATGCAGGCGCGGGCGGGCGGGCATGCGCCTACCCACTCTCACTATGGCGCCTTATGGCCCCGTGCTGGTATGCAACCTGTCCGCACGCCTGGCATGCGGTACAGTATTGCCAGAAAAAAGGCCACCGACCCTCCTCGTGTACCGCCCTTGTACTCATGTGTACATCGATGGGTAAGCGCTGTGTCGATTCTCCTTATTACTGGTGCTAGGTGCTGGACACATGTGCAATTTGCAACAGCTATACTCTAGTATAGCCGGATTGCCTACTCGCTCGCTCGGGACCCGAAGCGGCCGCGTGGTCAGTAACGATAGGCGAATTTACCCGTGGTGGTTCCTTCTAGCGTTCCTAAGGATGCAAAGAAATCGCAAGTCATAAGTCATCCCACGATGTGGCTACAATCCGCAGAAAGCCATCAGGTTCTGGGTGCATGCTTGTGGCCTTTTCAGGTATGTTATTTCACTTCAAATAATCCGGAAGTAACTCGGTGCAACATTACCCCTAGTACCGCACATTCTGTGCACCATACCTCTCGCCGTTCCCGTGCGTGGTGCATGGTGCACGCTCGCCGCGTGAACGTGACCGACGTCCGCAAGGCATATTTCCCAACTGTCCCGCGGTCCTGGTCCCGCACACGCTCCGTGCCCTCTCGCCTACACGAAGCCAAAGATGCTGGATCTGGAACTCCCTCTAGCGTTCTCTACGCCCTGTATACTCGGCGCCGGCGGCTCGGGTGATCAAATTTTCCCCAAGTATCAGTTGGCCAGTCAGAGTACTCGGAGCTCCGTTTAGGGGTGGCCGCGGGGCTGTTGAAGTTAAACATTGGTTTCTTGTGGGACATTTTGAGCAAAACCGAAACCTTTGCTTGAGCTCCACTAAATATTGTCCGATTTTGTTCATATTTTGATATGTTGGTCTGATCGTACTTACATTCGAACGAAGCGCCGAGTACTCTGACAGGCTAATTGATACTTGGGGAAAATTGGATCACCCTAGGCCTAGCCGGCGGCTCACCTCCATGCGGTGGGGACGACAAGTGGCCGCGAGTGATTGAAGCGCCATCATAGCCGCGGCTCGAGCACCTGCTGCCGCCGAACGACAGTTGCAGCGATAATATGCGAGACCATACCATGCGGGCAAGGGCCCCATCGTCGGACGCGTTTCCACGTTATTCGTGGAGCGTCACGGCGGCGCAGGTTCCCTGGCCAGCCGGTCGAGGCGCAGGCTGGGTGGCGCCGCGGCGGCCTGTTCGCACCTCGACGTCCAATGCCGACGTGGACAAAGGCGGGCTTGTCCCTCGTCTGGGCGCACAGTGGGTGCGGCCCGGCCCGAAACGCGGGGTTCGCCGCCAGCTTTTGGCCGCGGTGCAATGGCATACATGGCCTCCAGAAGGGCGTCGGCGAAAATATCCCCGGGCAAGGGGGAAAGGGCAGAAGGCGCGGGAGTGGAGAAACGGGCCCTTCAAATCATAAGCCAATTCCACGTCGATACGGCCCCAGCCTCCAGGCAGCAGCCGAGCTGGAGCGGGCGCTGGCGCGGGGCGCTGGAGCGCAGGCGGCGCGGGGGGCGCGGAACGTGGCGAGGGGGTGGTCAGGGCGTCGCGGCGTGGCGCCAGTCTGCGGCGCTGGCCTGCCCCGCGACGCCTAGCGACGCCCTGCCCTGGCCGCCCCGGCGGACCTCGGGCCGTCGTGGCGCCAGGCGTCGCTCGGTCGGTGCGCCCTGCGGCCCCCGCGGCCCCCGCCCGCTCCGCCCGCGGGCCCCCGCCTGGAGCCCGGACGGGACGGGGTGGCGCCGACGTCCCACGGCGCCAAGCTTGTTTACGGGGTTCCGGATACCTAGGCAACAAGCTGCTCTCATCAGGCAATCGATAACTCTGGTCCTCGGCGGAAAGGCTGCGGGGGCTCCTGGGGGTGGCCTGGGGTTTCGGACGTCTCGGCGGCGAGCGCGGGCTTCCCTTTTAACCCCGCGCGAGAAAGCGAACGCTAGAATAGACATACGCAGCATGTGTCTACTCGATAGGCGTCTCACGATTTATCGATTGATTAACGCTGGAGGTTCAAAACAAAATAACACCGGACAGCAATTTCGTTGATGTTTATTTCAAACTCTCTTCGACATGACACCCACATAGCCAGGGGAACAATGACTTGAAATGACTAGATTTATTTTGTTTCAACATTGGCAGGAAGCACTTTCTCATCATCATCATCATCATCAGTAAAGTGACATCCAGAAATGTGAATAAAAACCACAAGATTTACCCTGATTTCCCTGATAGAAAGGGAGGTGACTAACACAATGATTATTACATTTAATTTGTTGGATAACAATAGAACTTAAAAAACCTCAAGCTTATGTATTGTACGTACAGTATGTTAGCCTTACATAAGTTGGCATGGAAGGGGCACCGGCCAAGATTTTCAGGAACAACAGTATGTATATTCCCCTAAACGTCAGTCATCAATCAATTTAAATTTGTTCAATTTTCCTCACTCTTGAAAATTTAAAACAAAAGTCATATTACAATCAATAGGAATATGAAATATCACTGAAACTTCTCAAAGTATTAAACGTAAAATAAAAATAGTTTGAATGAAACTTCAGAAAAACTTAAGGAAGACTACTATTTGATCAGTAATTAGTAGTCCTTATAGTTCTTAATAAATGTTATATGTATGTTACTTAAACCAAAGCTTTGCTTGATCATATATGAAACTTATAGTAAAACAACAATGACAAGATAAAATTTAGAATACAAAACTTATGATAAAATAATTAAAAACTTGAAATTGAACATACAAAAATAAAGTACACAACACACAGATCACCATTATAATACACACTGGATGCTTCTTAGATCTAAAATACAACCTGTGCTATAGTAAAAACTGGCATTTGATTGTTCAATCGAACTCAAAATTGGACTACCATTTGACTCAATGAGGTAGTCATGAAATACTATAGGACTTTGCAAGATCCTTCTTGAATACATCACCCCCAAAACAACCTATATTTCTTTCTTTTTTCAGTCTTCTATGGACATTCTCAAAGCAAATGAGATGATTTATTTTTAAAAAAAAATGCTTAAAATGAATCCTTAGGCCCTCTCAAAATGTGGAGGAAAAGAAATTAATATTTTAAAATGGAATGATTTGAGTAGCCAAATTCTATTGGGGTTTATCTACAATATAGATAGCTTACTTTTGACCAATATTAACTATTATTTGGTTTGTCCGCAACAACACATCGCTACTATTTAAAGCATACCTCAAGAACTATCTATTGCACTTTCTTGCCCCTGTTGGCCAAAAAGTGTGCTAAATGTAGTTGTCATCATTTTTTAATCTAACACTTCTCTTCTAGGTTGACCAGGGGAGGCCTGAGCCAGCAGGGTTACCACTTGGCATCGGCATTATTGACCGCACTCCCCATTCAGTCCAATAAATCAATCAAATCAAAGTACAAATTGATAATTCAATAGGTTGGAGAACATATTAGAATGATTGCTTATGGTCTAGTGAAGCTGGGATGAGATGAACAAAACTTAAATGTAGGATGAGGCCAAGCTGTGGTGGAATTCATAAAAAATGTTTATGAGCATTAACTCACATTTTACCCCCCAAAATACTGAAAACATCACTTATGTTCTATGGTCCTTTGTCAGTTCTTTACCAAATCAAGATAGGTTATCTTACGTTTTAATACGACGTCCCAATTTTACCCCATTCTTAACTTTTTTCTTGTATACTCCATTGAGAATGTCACCATTTAATTTGCCCCGCTGGTTTTCAAACACCACATCAGAATCCGTGTCTGAATCAGTAAACAGGGGCCCTTGTGAATCTGTAATCAAAAATATTGAGCAAATAATCAGAGTGTACACAGCAGATAGATTTCTTAACGCCTTAGTTAATTAAACATACATTTTGGTATCATAAGTGATGAATCTTCCTCTGCAGAATCAACAGGAGTGTACCGTTTCCGGATTTTCAGTTGTTTTGGGGAGAAGACTTTTTGACATAAACAGATTATACCCCAAATTACACTGATGAGAACAAGCACACTAAGGAACAATCCAATTATAACATACAAAATACTCCAATCTGCAACAATTCAATAGAAAAAAATCAGTGGAGAATGTAGTTTAACAATTTTTAATTCAGTATTGAGTCAGAAAATTATTATTGGAATGACTTCTTACCACAGTTTGATTCCGCATCTCCTAAGTACTTTCGAATTAGATTTTGCATCCAAAATGCCTCACACAAGCACAGCCTACTAACTTTATCACATACTCCATGACCTAAAATTTCAAGAGGTTTTTCATATGGTTGTTACAAGATAATTTAGAAAAGCAATAATATAAAGTAAAAATTTATGATTGGCTATACCTGAACAATTATTTTGGCAAATTTCAGTTTGAATGTTAGCTACTGACAGTTCAAGTAACCCAACATCTTGTTCTAACTTTGTCTTAAGGGTGGACACAACAAGTGGACCAGGAACAATTGTTTTATCTGATTTATCTTCCACATAGAACAACATCTGTGCACGACCAGAGTAATGCTCCTAGATAAGAAAAAGAATAATTACACACTTTGAAAACCGATTCATTTTACATAGATATCAAACCAACCATACCTCACGAAGTTCTCTAACTTGTACAACAGGATTATCCTTAAGAAGCAATGAAAGCTTGAGTCTAAGAGAATCCTCTTGAGATTTTGTCAGCTGCTCACCTACTATATTAAGGGTCAGTTCTACCAGTTGAAAACGGAGAGGATCTAAAAGAAAATGTCGATTTTAAAAAGAACTCATCTCAATATTGCTTTTTATATCACATATTGCTGTAGGACTCTTACCTGGTTTCACAATCACAGACACAGTATCTTCAGAGGATGAACCTTGTTCATCTGTTACCTTCAATCTAAATACGTAACGCCCTGGGACAACATCAGTTAGCTACAAAAATAATACCAGAATTTAAGTACAAACCAGGAAATAACAGCCCATATACTAGTTATACTAGTTCATCATGATATTTTAATTAATACGCATACCATCAGTATTGGTGTAGTATCTGATATTCCAAGAACTCTTCCAATAGCAAGACTGTCTGGTTCTCTTGTCCATTTCCAGCTAACAATACCTAAATCGTCACTGGAGTGAGAGCCATTCAGCATAACAACACTAGCAGGCAAAATTACAGTTTGATCTCCACCTGCATTAGCTTTTGGAGGTGCATTTTGATCTAAGAAAAAGTAAAGGAAAAGTCATTTAATTAATTTTTAATCAAGGCAATAAAATAAAATAAAATAAAATAATATAAAATGTAACAAGACCAGAAAATGTATGCTTACTTTGTGTCACAATTACAAAAACAGAACCAGTGGAATTATTGTTATTTTCATCAGTAACAGTTACATGAAATTCATATTCTCCTTTTGTAAGGTCAGTCACATTTGTTTGTGGCTTAGTTGGTGCTGAGAATACCACAGAGTTTGATCCGGGCGGACGCCTGCAATAGCAACATTTTATTGTTAATGAGCTTATTTGAAAATGGTTCCCGCAGAGCAAAGCAAAGAAGAGACCTTACCTTATTTCTTCCCATTTCCATCCAACAATCTTGTTATCATCAGTGCTCTTGGAGGCATCGAGAAGAGCCCAGTTTTGCGGCAAAGCTATAGTCACGTTTGATCCGGCATCCACTTCACACAAAAAACAACATTTTATTTTAGTACATAGAGGACACCAACCACAAAATAGTAGGAGAGAAAGAAAATTAATGTGAACAACTGCTTACCAACAGGGGGATTGCTTGTAGGTGGCTTAACAAAAACATGAACAACAGCCTCTGAGGACTGATTAGAAGTATCCATAACTTTTAGTGTGAATGTGTACATCCCCAACTCCAAGTTTGAAAGCTGAAGATATGGAGTTCGGGTGTTCTGGAAACAGAGGCAAATTTGTGTTTTTGTCATCAATAGTTCAGAGTGATGCAGTGCTCATAATCTGGCATACTCACCTGCATATCAACAGCTTTGTTCTGATCTGAAGCACTTTTGGTCCATTCCCAGCTGGTAATCCCATGATCATCACTACTTAAGCTTCCATTCAAAGTTACATTGTTTTGAGGCAAATGGACAATGATGTCTGCCCCAGCATTAGCCTCGGGAGGATAATCCTTGCTTGCAACAACGGTTATGTTAGCTGTTGTTGAGTTTGTAGCACCATCTGAGTCGGTGACAGTAAGCCTGAAATTTTTCCAATTGACTCTATATGGACTGAGGACAGGCAAAAAAAAGAGGCATAAAAACAAAAACAGAAGGTAGCAAAGATGACCTTACTTGAAAGTGTAATTGCCTGGTTGGTACAAATTATCTAGCTGCAATGTAGGACTGTCTTGCAGTTGGGATTTGTAATCAAGTGGCCCTTGCTGAAGTTCCCAATGCCATTTCACTATTTTCTCATCATCTGTGCTTGAGGAGCCATCCAAAACAGCACCATGATTTGGACTCTTGACAATTTGTGACACTGGAGTCACAATAACTACTGGCAATTGATTGAATCTTTTGGCTACAAATATCAATTAATTAATTTAACAATAAGAAACCCTAAATCATACAGACATACACAAACATTAATATTAGTAATACTCACGAGGTAAGACAGTAACATTCACTAGAGTTGAGCCAAAGCCATCCTGAGCACGTACACTTACATTAAATGTATACAAGCCTTCACTCAAATCATTTAGCTCAACAGTAGCGCCATTTTTGTTGTTCATGGTCCCTGAACTATCTTCTCCTCCAGGCTTTGACAGCAATACCCATTCATAGGTAAAGTGCTCCCCTGATGAACAAGGGAATAAACAGAACAAACCAATACAATAAAGACACCATATCTATTTCATAAAATGGTGTATAAAATGTTCTTTTTCTCACCTTCTTTTTCAAGAGGGACAGTGTAAGCAGATAGTTTAACCTTATTTTCGGGAAGCTGAACAGTTTTATTACGAGCAGATACCGCAATTGTGCGTAATGGCTTAGGTGTTGATGATGAGGTTAACAAAGAGGTGGAGGGATCTCTACCAAAATTGTCTGAGGAGTGAAATTGAGATGAACCCCCTTCCAGAAACATCCTCTGAAAAAAGGATTAGTAACAATAAAAAATTATGAGATGGTAGTCGTAAAACTTATTTTCTACCCGTTGTTTCATTAATGGATAAGGTTGAACAAACCTGAAAAGAGGGGTCGTTTGGATCAGATTCATCAAGAAACTGTGTATTAAGTGGAGTGATTCGAGATAGTATGCTACTGGCAGGAGACACAGTGCATTCTCCTTCAGAGTTGCGAATAAAACCCCTAGCACAAGTACAAATACCATTTCTGGAGTGATCATGCTGTCCAACACATCTCTCATTTTCTCCACACATATTATCAACTCCAACTTCACAGGCGGTAGGCTGATCACTTTCATATTCAACATCGTACCTGTAAATAAATAATGAAATGTGAAAACAATATTTTACTAGATTATGAAGGCAAACCTTAAGGAAATATTCTTTGCTCCAAATTAAACTTTTAAAATTTACTGCTCATTAAAAATGTTTTTTTTTAAATAAATGAAATGCGTGAAGCTTGTGATTAGAAAATACAAAAGTAGGAGGGGTTCATTAGTATTTATACCACTTCTCCTCCTTTTTCATCTCTACTCCCTCCTCCTTGGCTGACTCTCTTGCACAGCCTGTGTTTGAGATAAGGATATCTCCTACCCACACACACCAGCAGGCTAACTCAAGGCTAAGCTTAATTTTACTTACGGATAGGCATCACTGTTAGATTGTAGGCCAGTGAGAAGACTGGACCATGAATTGTCATCAACAGGTCTGATTAATGCCACTTGAGTAATAGTTGTATCAGCACTATCGCGTTTCCGTGGTACAGGAAGACACTGAACACTTGAATTGCATGTCACCTGTATCAATAAAATACAAATGTTACAACAATGTAGTTTTTAAAGTAATACAAAAACTCACATAACATGACTAACATGATAACATGCAGCTTCATCTTGCTTTGTTATGTATACAATAATATTGCAGTCACTCTTCTGACAACAAGAATATATGCAATCATTGATGCCATCGTCCTTCTGTTTTGTGTATGTTCCAGCGCCTGTACCATTTCTTGGGATTACGTCATTAAATATCTTGTGATATGACTTGGGACATACATTACTGCCCAATTGTGAAGAGCATGTTTGTAGTAGAAGTATCAGAATTACACAGAGTTCCAATACTACATTTAATCGCTCATTGGCAGCCATAATTTTGTCTAAAACCACAAAAAGAAAACAATTAGCACCGATTCTCCCCCACCATACATCTCAATAGAATACAATTATAAAATTGCGTTATAATACTTGACAAAATGTAAATTTTTGGAACAGAGGGCAGGAAAAGTGCATTTGACAGAGAGAAAAATAAAATTGAGTCTGGGAAATAAGAAACAGTGGGCAAGTGAGGGAAAGACTGAGGAGTTAATTAGCTGCAGCTGTGAATGGGATTAAATCCTAATGTACATGTGCCAACCATCACCCTTCATTGTTCACAGAGTCAAGTTGATACTACATACTTCAGTGGAAAACCAAACGAAACACATTAACAATATTCTGGGCTACCTAGCATCAACGAATCATTTGAAAAATACACGGATTACAAATACTAAATTCTATTAGTGACAATTAGACCAAAATATTACAAGTTTCAAATAATTGACAAACTCAATTACTTATAGTTTGACGTTTAATGTCACAGTACACAAGTGAAAATATTCAGGGAATTAATTTAAAGGTATTGAAATGACACACAGTTTTCAAATGGAAGAAATTCAAAAAAATATTGCTGGACCGGATCCTAACCTTGTAATTTAGAGATCTCAGGGTAAAAATTGTAATCGCTCCCCTGACACACTCCAATTTGGTTTCAAAGCTTTCATTGAGAAACAAATTGATTGTTTTACTTGCCTTATCTGAAGTTGGAGAGAAATATTTGGTGTCGGCCCACCATAACGAACGGGCCTGACAGGAGCAGACGAGACACACGAAACACACTGACAAACGCAAACGCAAACACTCGCCCACTCGCCTTCCCCCTCCCTCCCAGTCATGTGGTGTGTAGAGACCGTAGTGTGAGATGTGCAGTGTCGGTCGAAGAGCATGCTACGCTGTGATTGGTTTTACTAGTAAACGCCATGCGCGAGGCTAACAAAGTATGAAAAATTTGGAGGAGCCTCTTCAGTTTGCTTGGTTTGCTCGCAGCACTCCTGACAGCCGCCACCTGGCCGGCCGGGGTAATTGTTGGGAAGTGGAATAGCCAGTTACGCTATACAAACAGTATAATCACCCTCTACGCTTGTCGTGGTTTGTTTTATCAGTTGGTGGTAAGTCGCGGTCGCCGCCTGAGAGGCAGGCAACCCATTCAACACCGAAGCGGATGCCCCGGGGGCGCGGGCACGCACTTGTGTTTTCGAACGCTCTCAGAGCCGTGCGTTTGGTTTTGCTGGTTTTGTTGCTCATAGGGAAATGTTCATTACTGTCGTGTCCGGGGTTTCGAGGGAAACCAAAAGCATAGGTTGAGCGCCCGACGATAGATTTATTAGCCCAGTCAACATGTAGTACACTTTACAGCTCCCGCCTAGCTGGCGACCGCACAGACTGATTTAGGTACCAACTTCGACACGGGTCCGAACAGTCCGCAGACCCCATGCGGTCGAGATACAATGTAGTTACCGCTTCGACGGGAGATGCTTTGGTCAAGCAATTTACAATTAGAAAACAATTTAAATAAAAATCTAACATAAATTTCACAGTCTTGTTATCTCCCCCTTTTCGTTGAGTGGTTGCAGCTCGTGCACGGATCCAGTGACTACGATGGACGGCAGGGAAGCCCTGGACACGCCATTCCGGTTCCGGTCGCCGTTTTTCGCCTCCTCGCGAGCGTCCGACCCGAAAGGTGAATTCCAGGGCTGCAGCTCGGACCGGGCGAACAGGCAGTACACCACGCCGCACACGATGACCTGGGCGGCCGTGATGCCGAAGACCTTTTGCCATTGCTCAACGGTTTGCTGCGGGATAATAATATCGTCAGTGCCACACCAAACACGTCAACTGCAACGGTGACTAATAATTATTGCCAAATCGCTTGAACTATACGTTTTGGAACGTGAGCTGGCCGACGATGATCGGCGAAATGAATCCGGGCAGCACGGAGATCATGCCGCTGATGCCCAGGATGATGCCTGAACAAGACCACAATGAACGTGAACAGCGTGCCTATCGTCTGTTTGGTGGTGTCGCGCGACACAGAACACCGAGGACGACGTCACGTACTGGCGAAGTTTGGGCTAATGTCGACCATGCTGGCAAGGGGTCCCGTGGACACGGAGCCGTGGGCCGCGGTGGCGGCCGTCAGGAAGACGATGGCGGCGATGGCGTTGCAGCCGGAGAACGTGAGGAAGAGGATCAGCAGCCCCTGGACCACGTCACCTGCACGACAGAGAGGGGCGGAGTGTGGGCGGGAACGGAACGGAGAGGCCACGACGGTGGAGGCTTATTCGAGGCCTATGGATTTTACTCACAAGAGAATGTGGCCAGCTTGCGCACATTGGTTCTGGACATGATGCCTTTCCTCAGGAGGTAGTCGCCCACCTCGGAGAAGAGCCACGCCCACAGCATGCGCATGAGATGTGGAAGCCCCGACAACAGCCCCGTCTGCGGCCACAATGTGGTCATCACCCAGGTCACGGGAGGTCACGCCGCGAGGGGGGTGAGGCCGCCGGACGATGTTGCACCTACCATGCGGATGTTCCAGCCGTGGATGTACCGGAAGTAGGAGGGCGCCTGCGTCATGAGGGTGAAGAGGCCGAACACGCCACCCCACTGCGCCACGATGTTCATCCAGACGGCCCTGGACGTGAGGATCGCCCTCCACGGCGTGGGAATCTGAGGAGGTGAGCAGTGATGAGCAGACTGACAAAGATATCTATGATTTGTCACTCTGCAGAGCTAGAAGGCAAGCAAGCTTGCCCACTGTCGCTCCGCTCACCATGGCGCCCTAGGTTAGGGCGCCGTGCGGCGCCGTGTGAGTAGGGAACTCGCACACACAACTACAAGCGGTGCATTATCGGCAAGTACGCGGTCTATGGGACGCCCTGTATCTCCTTTACAAAAATACGTATATCGTGTTACTTTTTGGCGCAAGGGATCGCCCAGAAAGTAGGTGTCTTAGAATCGTTTGGGAGATTACAGGTGCTTGCCGCCTGCGAAACTCAGGCTAGGCCACCCAGCAATGCACACATGCACTGCTGGCGATATGTTGCCTACCCACCAGGCGCTACGAGGGCTTGCAATGGCTGAACTGGGCAGTTTCGCTAGGGCAAAGGGCGGTCTTTCTCTCTGGATGATCCCCCACGAACCCGTTGGATCATCCTCTTTCCTCCCAGGAAGACACTCACTGACCTGCCTCTGAGTGACGCTCTTCCCCAGCGACTCGGTGATGTAGGTGAGCTCCTCCGCGGAAATGCGCGGGTGTCTGGACGGGGAGTCGAACACGAAGGCGAACCAGAGGGCGTACCAGGCGAGGCCCAGGGCGCCGCAGACGTAGAACACCGACTCCCAGCCCAAGGTGTGGATCAGCTGGCCGCAGAGCGGGAACGTCAACGCCGCGCCCACCGAGCTTCCTAAGAGGCAGACGGCCATGGTCCAGAGCCTTGGAGAAAACGTCGGGGTTCGCCACTCACTTGCTCGAGTGCGTTTCGAGTGGTGTTCGAAAGACGATTATTCACGGCAATAAAATAGTCAGGGACAGTAAGGCGGGGGCTCCACATGGCCATGCACGTGCGACCGCGCCGGGGCGGTCTTTCAATTTTGTTATCATCGTGGGGATTAGAGGAAGTCTCGTTTACTGCTAAGTGATTAGCAAACGCATCGTAGATGAATTGGCATCTTCCTGAGTGACAAGTTTACTATTTCAGAGCTTTGCGTGAGCCCGCCTTGCGGGGGAGAGTGTAAGGATCGTAAAACTCCTTTCTCGCAGTGACGCTTCAAGTCTTTGTGTTACGCGGGCGGCTCGGCGGCTTCACCCCCGACCCTAAATCACGACTCACCCAAATATGCGGTGACAAACTTGCTTCGCTCGTTGGGCGGAATCCACTGGGCAGTCATGTTGTGCATGGACGGCCACGCGAAACCCTGGGCACGAATTTGACACACTAAAATAAGACGTCCTTTTCATTCAACGGGTCGAGCTACACGTGGCTTGCAAAGGCTATATTTTTCCATTGCAGTGTAGGAAATCTCCAAACCATGTACCGGGTGATTCAGAGAAGACGCAGGCGCGGGCGGGTTTGCCTAACCAAGGGGCTATGGCGCCCGGGGGTAGGCAAACCCACCTGCACCTGCGTCTTCTCTGAATCACCCGGTACTGCAAATCCCCAACCTATGTCCCCACTTAGTGGCTGGTAAAATTTATACAAACAGTCTTTACAGTGCACCTACCGCGATCAGGCCCTGCAGAAAGCGGATGGCGAGCAGCGCGCGGTAGTCCCAGTACGCGACCACGGGCACCAATAGCGTGAGTAGCACCGGGATCAGGTTGGCCAGGCCGAAGACGAGCTTGGTGCCGTAACGGCGCGCCAGGACGCCGCCGGGCACCTGCATCGCCCAGTGCAGCCAGAAGAAGGCGCCGAGCACCAGCCCCTGCTGCCGCTCGTCCCAGTCGAAGCCCTCGTCGAGCCCGTCCCCGGGGCCGGCCGGCGGCGCGGGCGTGCCGAGGGGCGTCATCGTGGAGCTCCATCGGGTCAGCATGCCCCTGGAGACAGACGACGGGAACGTGTGCCGTTCGGTAATCGTCAGCGCTGCACACGTCCAGCTCTGGCGGAGATCGATCGCTTCCCTTGTTGTGCCATTTGTTTGGGAATGACCTATGCCACATCCTCTGCCGCGCTTTATCGTTTTGACAACTTAATCTTGGCCACCCCCGCCCCCGCGTACTTACTCGGTCGTGGAGTGGTTCGCGGCGGCCGCGGCGAGCTGCTCCTCGAGAACGCACTGGCCGACGACCGCCGCCGCGCCGTCCTTGGCCTTCGGGACGCGCACCATGGCCACGATGGCGATGTTGATGTTGATGCGGATCATGTAGTTGACGGCGAAGCCGAAGAACACGAGCACCCACAGCACCCGGCGGGCAGTCACGCAGTCTGCTGCACAAAACACGAGGTGCTGCAGCTTCAGGCGATCATGATGCACTTCGAAGAGGGCACCGGACTCGAACGGCCAGGCACACACTGTATCACTCCCATCAACAACCACACGCCCCACTTTCGGATCACTCTCGGGCAGGAATCATCGCACATCGCCAGTCGTCGTCGTCGCCCGAGGCACATCGATCGATCGATCGATCGAACCGAAACCATTTCATATCACCCGAGATGTTCCCGCGTCGCGTCACCCCGACAGCTTCATCTCGCGGGCGGCCGTTCCCCGCGGCGGGGCGCGTTCTGTCTGTTACCTGACCCCATGTTGACTCGGCGACGGTGCGCTCGGAATAAAGACGTGCTACTTGAACGGTTGAGTCCCGCCGCCGGCCTGCGGTCCCAGCCCAGCCCGCGGGGCCCGAGCAGAGCGGGCAGGTGTCTTTATCAGCGATTTGATAATATAGGCGAATAAAAACCAAACGGAAAAGAGCGATGAGGAGGGCAGGGCGATGAGGGGGTACAGATAGTCTCGGGGATTGCCTAAAATGAGTTTTGGCTTTCGTTTTGGTTTTCGTATGGTAACTGCTCTTAACAGTCGCTCGGCCAATTTTGGGATAAGTTGTATGTCTAGAGAATGCATCAGGTTTTACCCGTTCATACTTACGTACGAACGGCGGGGGAGCATGTATCATCTCTCACCATAGGGCGCCTTGCGGCTCGATTGAGTAGGCAACCCGTTCGCACGCGCGCATGCGGCACAGTCTAACCATACGGATGTAGTCGGGACCCCGAGCGAATCAGCCTGCGCGGCTGCCGCCCGCTGCCTCGACTCACTTATTCCAAGCCATCCAAAAACACAGCGATATCGATTCTTTCTTAAATTTGTACATGCAGCTTTTCCCAGGGTGTTTGGATTGGGGAACGGCGCGTGGGAGGGGTGAGTGGCAGGTGTGCCCTCAGTGTCGCTGGAGGCGGGGGAGCGAGTCAAGGCAGTCGAGGAAGCCGAAAGGCGAGCAACAAGCGGTTGCCCTTCGCCTTCCGCGCGCGGAGGCTTGTTTTAGCCACCGCGGGGGTTCCTACCCGTTTCCGGAAGGACCGAAATAAAAACTGCTGATCTTTGCTCCCACCTGCTCGCCTTCGCCCTCCCTACCTGTGTATTTCTCCGGCGCACGCCTCCCTCTCCACCCATTCCCCGGCAATATCGCTCATGCCACCCCACTCCCCCCAAAAGCCCGCTCGATCTTCGCGTCTTATCAGGCGAATCATTGTTATCAATAACAACGCTATTGGCGGTATGGTAGGAAAGTTCGAACCCCCCAACCCACCAACGCATCACCAGCTCTGTGAATTTCCTTCAGCTCGGCCTTCTTTTGTGTGCTTCTTCACTCCACCAACGCCGCGCTTTTAGCGCTTCGCCCCCTTTTCCTCTGTTGCCCTCTTACTTTCTCCCTGATCCCTTCCGTGCCCGTGGCGTGACGTCACCTAGTGCAACCTTTCACGCCCGCTCACTCCGAACGGCCGGGCGGCACGGCAGCAAGGGTGCCTCATTACGTCATATATAGTTCGCTTCCTCCTCACCCCCGCTCACCCCCGCTCATCCCCGCTCATCTTCGCTTCCTCCTCACCCCCGCTCACCCCCGCTCA